ATTAAAATTCTATTCATTTGGTAGTCTGCCTGTTATCATTTTCTGCGAAGTAGGGTTTGAAATTTTTGTATTATTTTCATGAATAAATTATTGTTTTATTAATTAAAGTTTATTATTATTAATTGAACAATTAATTATTATTATGGTTGAACTCAACCCCCTTGTTTCTTTTATTTTTTGACAAACCTACTTTTTCTTATTTAATAGAAATTTTTTTACTTACTTGTGTAATATATGAGCCCTCATTGCACTGACAGCATTTTCACTAACTATGCATGTTTGGTAATACTAAATTTGATAACTGTAACACATTTTTTGTCATAAATGTACAAATAGTTGACCTAATGAGCATATGATTTTTTTCAGTTCCAGTTACAGCTTTAAAAATTGCTCTGTAAAAACAGTTGCCATCTCCTTCTATTTTATGACAGATATAAGGAGATATTTAAGCATGTTTGATAGTTTTAAGTGGATTAGTATCTAAACTGACAGTCTCCCCAGTATAATCCTGTATCAATAAAGCAGCAGAACTCATCCAGTCTGAGGAAGGTGTTTTGCCTATTGCTAGAGGCATTGCATCTTCAGATTTAATATACTCCACATCAGGAGATTTTCCTCTGTTTCTAGGATTCAGTGGGCATGATCGTTCATGTGAAGATTTTTCAATACTGCAAGTACATGTAACACTACTGATTATAATCTCACGATCAATACCAGAGCTAATGAGGATGCTACTATTATTACCATCAGAACTAGAAAGAAATATTTCGTAATCATCATTACTATTATTTAATATTGATCCCTGATAAATTAATTTGTCATCTGTTATGCTTTCATGCACAGCTAATGAGCTACACTCAGAGCCTAAATCTTGATGGAAATCAGTTATACTTAATTTACATTTTTTGTATTACTAATCTCCCCATCTCGTATTGCTTTTCTTTTATGAGATGATTTGGGTGTTTCCTTACTGTATGTGTGATATGCTTTATGCTGCTCAACCCATAATTTATGTGCAGCTTGTTCAGGTTGTCTATGCCTTTTCCTTGCTTTTCTTCTCTTACACTTCACATCACACTGTTTGGCTCTTGTAAGAGATTTAAACCTAGAATCATTTATTGATTTTAATGCTTCAGCCGTACCATCAAGTTTGGGTAAGCTCATTCTGTCAAAAAGATCAAGTAGCCAATGGTAAGCTGGTCCTTTGTGCACATACATCCAGGACATGTTATTTTGTATAAGCCCAAGTGAAGTGGAAACATAATAGTGAAGCATCTAAAATTCTGAAGATTTAAATTTTTTGTTCTGAACTGCAGCAATACATTGAGATGATTCAATTACACTAGTGTGGCAACAACCTAACTCCTTGTGAATAGTTTTTGATTTAGCAATAACAGTTTCACATGCAATTTCATATGCAAGACTATGGAATGGGCAATTTAAAACATTCTTAGTTATATATGGCTTACCTTGACATGTAATGTCACTTTTCTTACATTTTCCAAAATCACATACAGTTAAATCATGAAAGAAACATTTCCCACCATCCCATTTATGCACATTTTTGGCATGGTACTTTGCTAGTGAGTGAAGTCGATCTATAAATGCTTGTTGATCACAACCAACGGACTTAACTATGGCAGAAAAGTTTATCCTAGCTGACTTAACGAAACTATTAGTAAAACAACCAATGTCATCCTTAATGCAGTGACACTTCACTGTAGCAATATCAGGGTATGTTTTTTGGAACTTTTTAATTTGGCTTTTTAAAAATTTTTTGCTTAGCAAACCTTTTTAAATGCTTTTCATGATTTCGTGCAATATGGCCACTACACAAAATTATTCTACAATGAGGAACATTAGAAAGCAAAGCTTTTGAAGAAGTACTGTCGTCATTATCTTGCACATGAATGCCTATGTTCATTTTATCAGTTATAGCTTTTTTAAAAACCCACTCAGCCCCAAATCCCTCTACAGATTTTGATGTACCTTCAAACAGTTCTTCTCCTGTTATATTATCGTTACCTCTGACTAAAATGCTTATAGTACAAAAGCCCCCCAGTTTGATAGTTTCGTAGAGTATATGTAGCATTTTGACTATGGTAACCATGTGTCAACATGCAACATTACCACATGTCACAGCATTTTCAAAAGATCCAAGCTCACTGTCATTCTTATGCTTCATTGATTTTTTTGCTTGCTCACACATATCATTTAGTATACTCTTGACATGTGGGTACATTAAAGCCAGTGTCCTGTAATATATTGATTTTCCTGCGCAGTACATGCCAAGATGATTTTTAAGTACTTTAGCGTATTGAGAATACATTGCGCCTGAACATATAAATGCAGTTTGCAGGGCAAGACTAACTGTTGTACAGTTTTCAGTCTTATGCTTATTTGAGCTCTCAAAAGCAACACGTCTCTCAGCACAACCAGTACAATCATAATGTAAAGTAACACAACCTTGTTGACCAATCATACTAACACAAACAAGTTTTAACTTACCATTACATAATGGTGAGGCACATTGAGATGTTAAATTAATCTGATCAACAAATTCACACATTTGGCTTACTTGACCCAATTACTATTAGGTAGTTCACCAGAGTTGCGTCCTTCAGGAGTATCCAAGCTGAAATCAGGATCATTTTGAAAATGTATTGGAGTGACCTCCATTGTTCCATCTGAATTGCTTTGATTCTGCCTTTTTGGTGTAGCTGTCGCATCAGATTCATCAAAGTTTGTCATCATTTTCTGTGACAATAGTAGAGGAAATACGTGTCGCACCTGTTGAAAATCCGGTCCTGGCAGTCCACCTAGCCTTGTGAAGAGCATCAAATCTTTTCCTTTGTTTCCTTTGTGGCATTTCATTTAAAATTGAATTTAATTAGCAATTCACAGTGTGACTATGATGCAAATTTTGTCATGACACAATGAATACTGTGTTTATTCATGAAGTGGCAACTTCTTTTGCTGCAGTAAGATGGCTGCAAATGAAAATTGTAGCTTAAGGCCTTAAAAAACATGGAACTAATGATAATAATTATTTATTTCGCAACTGAAATTATCTCACCAAAAGAAACACGGAGTAGTTTTGATATCAACAAATTTAATTAAAAAATTTCGCATTTTAAACTAAGCATAAATTAAATTCCAATTTATGAAATGATTTTATCATTGATTACTAAAATAGTCTGTGAATTAAAGAAATAAATTTATGAAACAAAAAGAATTAACAGAGTTGCAAATTTATTGCAAATGAAGTAGAAGTAGACTTGAAATTTTGATGGCATTTTACTTGATGACCTAATGGAATGGTTAGGACAATCATAGGTAAAACTAATATTCAAGAATAAATGAAGCACCATGGTGCGTGGACTCGCCTGCTGAGATTCACCTGATGGATAATGTGTTACAAGTAAATAAAAAACATTAAAAATGGGGAAAATAGTAGGATTGATTTGGGAAAAAAGTAAGGAAACAAGAACGTACTTGCAAACTGGTGTGGTAAGAAATCCTACACCACTGCATAAAAAAATAAGGCTTCATAGTGCTATCATAGTTGGCTGTGAGGATAATTGCTA